TTTAAAAAAAAAAAAAAGATTTTATTTATTTATTTGTCAGAGAGAGAGATAGTGAGAAAGAGCAGGAGCAGGAGGAAGGGGCAGAGGCAGAGGGAGAAGCAGACTCCCCGCTGAGCAGGGAGCCCGATGCGGGACTCGATCCCAGGACTCTGGGATCACGACCCGAGCTAAAGGCAGACGCCTCTCCGACTGAGCCACCCAGGCGCCCCATCTTCCCTTTTTTTTTTTTTGAACAGCTTTATTGAGCTATAATTCATATACCATACCATTCACCCATTTAAGGTGTACAATTCAGTGGCTTTTAGTGTATTCACCAATGTGTGCAACCATCACGTGGGAGAATTACTCAATGTTAGAATGTTTTCACCAACTCAAAAAGAAAGCCATTCCCTCTAGAAACCCCCCATCTTCCCGTACATCCCCGTCCCACCTCGAAGCAACCACTAACCCACCTCTGTCCCTATGGATTTGCCTGTTCTGGACAGTTCATGTAAATGGAATCACACAAGATGTGGCCTTGTCTGTCCAGCCTCTTTGACTTCGCCTGATGTCGTCAAGGTCCATCCATGTGGGAGCCTGAGTCAGAACTTCATTCCTCTTTACGGCTGAACAGCATTCTGATGACCTGTCCATTGTACCTGTTCATCTGCTGACGGACATTTGAGTCCTTTTTACCTTTTGGCAACTGTCAATGATGTTGTTCTGGATTTTTCGAAGCAGGGCTTTGTTCCGGGTCCTCCTCGGCCCCTCGCGCCAGCCACTGAGTGACGTGGTTTCCGTGTCCCCCCAAAGGTGCTGAAATCCCTGGACGCCACGTGGTCCACCATGGAGTTTGAGCATGAGCCACACCCACGCACGGGCACCATGATGCTCAAGTCAGACGAGGTGCTGGTGGAGACCCTGGAAGACAACCAGGTGCAGCTGCAGAACCTGATGATGTCCAAGTACCTGTCCCACTTCCTGAAGGAGGTGACGAGCTGGCAGCAGAAGCTGTCCACGGCGGACTCCATCATCTCAATCTGGTTTGAGGTCCAGAGGACCTGGAGCCACCTGGAGAGCATCTTCATTGGCTCCGAGGACATCCGCGCCCAGCTGCCGGAGGACTCCAAGCGCTTTGACGACATTGACATGGAGTTCAAGGTGAGCACAGCCCTCCGCCTCCCCCTGGGCACTTTTAGAAATGGCGACGCTGGAGAGTGCGTGGCCACTCACGCCCCAGGGGCCCATCTCCTCCCAGGCCCTGATGGAAGAGGCGGTGAAAACCCCCAACGTGATAGAAGCCACCAACAAGCCTGGTCTCTACGACAAACTGGAAAATCTGAAGAAGAGGTGGGTCCCCGCGCCTGGCCAGGTGGGAGGCGTCCTGGCGGCAGGGACCCGAGCCAGCAGCCCCCACGCCGCCCCCCAACCACCCAGGACAGGGCAAACTCTCCTCCCTGGTCGCTGGTGCCCAGGGCCGCGCGGTGCCACGCCGGCCACACAGCATGTCCTCAGCCTCAGAGGGACGCCCACACGGCAGGTCAGGTTCCAAGGTCCGAATCTAACTGGGGCTGCAAACAGCAGACCAGGTGTCTCCGGGGCTGTCGTCCGTCTGACGAGGACAGGATGGGCTGCAGAAGGCCTCGACCTCCCTGTTTCCTCTCTCCTCCTAGCTTGGCTGTGTGCGAGAAGGCCTTGGCGGAATATTTAGAGACGAAAAGACTGGCTTTCCCGAGGTTCTACTTTGTCTCCTCGGCTGACCTCCTGGACATCCTCTCTAACGGAAATGACCCCGTGGAGGTAGGCAGGCCCTTGGCATTCCGAAGGTGGCCCCGTGCTCGCCCCCATGTCTGGGTGGCCCTGGCCGGTTGGAGCCCTGCGCATGGAGGTCCCCGGACCGCCTCCACAAGGTCGTCGGCCCCAGAAACCGCCAGGGGGCCCGGCCATGACAGAGAGCCCCTTGCTTCATTTTCCTCATCTGGAAAATGGGTTAGATGCCAGGAGCTTGGTGAGACACTGTGTCTGGGAGACACGCCCGCTCGCTAGGTGGCTGCGGGGTCATCCTGACGGATCCGGGACCCCAAGAGCCAGGGGGAGGTGTTTCCTCGAGGCTCTTCTGAAAAGAGAGAGGGCTTAACTCACTAGGTGAAGGGAAAACACTATATTCTATTTGAATCCTAAAATTGCAGGACACACCAGAAGGGAGGCGTGGGGTGGCCCAGGGAAACAGGCCTAGGGCCTGGGACCAGGGCTTGTCAAGGAAAAGTGTCCTGTCACCTTCAGGAACAGACCTGGGATCCCCAGGCTGGTCTCTGAGATGCCCCTTGGTTGGTTAAGCGCGTTAGTTAACGCCAATCGGACGGGGGGGTGGGTGGGGGCGGGGTAATTCCAAAAATCAGAAAGACGCTTAAAACCGCCCAAGGAAAACCTGGCTGCGCCGCACCCCCTCCAAGGCCCTGGGTTCTGCGACCCCGTGTCTGCCCCCACTCCTGCCCCAGGTGAGCCGCCACCTGGCCAAGCTCTTCGACAGCCTGTGTAGACTCAAGTTTCGCCTTGACGCCGACGAGAAGCCTCTCAAATTCGGCCTGGGCATGTTCAGCAAGGAGGACGAGTACGTGGACTTCGACCAGGAGTGTGACCTCTCAGGGCAGGTGAGTGCCGGGGGCACATCCAGGGCGGAGGGACCGCCCCCCGGCCACCCCGCCCCAGACTGTCCCTCGATCCAGCAAGGGCTCCAACAGCTTCCACAGAGAATTTCCAGCACAGCCTGACCCCGCGTACTCCGGGGTGCATCTTGAGAAAAAACGGAGAGAAGAAGGGGAGGAGAGAGGGTTATGGCTGCCGGTGGGCTGTCTTGGGCTTGCCAGGGGACTGCCTCGAGGGGCCCCCACACTCCTGAACCGCCGCAGTCTAACCCCTGTTCAGAACAATCGGCTCCTCACCTCGGGTGGCCCCGTTCCCATCCCCAGCCACCCACGAGGCGGCCTCCTCCAGCCGACACCGAGCGGCCCCACAGCCCCGCTCCCCCATCTCACCGCGCAACTCAGCAACCAAATCGACTTTGACATTTTCCAAAGTGAAATGTAATTTGGAGAGAAATCAGCTGGGGACAAAAGGAAAATCTCACGCAAGAAAACTGGAGCTTCGGAAACGTGGGCCCGGAGCTCCTGGCGGGTTTGCTCTGCGCAGCCAGGGTTGGTGGGGGCCCCGGCGAAACCCAGTCATCATGGTGTGTTCACAACCGCGGGCACTGTGTTTATAGTTTAAAAGAAAAACCAAGCCGATTGTCCTGTTTGGGTCCTCCCCCCGCAACCAGTAGTGGCTAGTGGAGGGTTTGTATTTCAAAATACAAAGAAGGCTTGTCTGCAAATAAAATAAATACAAAGAAGGTTTGTCCTGCGTGACTGTCTGGGACCCTGAGACCAGGCACCCGAGGAGCAGCCAGAACCTGCCAGGAACTCGAAAGGATGGCGCCTCAGGGGCTCAGAGGTAGCCTGTCTTCTCTTCTAGAATTTTCTCTGGATCCCCTCCCTTGTCCCCCGAGAAATAGCGTGAGCACGTGAACGCCCAATGCGACAAGTCTTGCAGGGACACCCCCTGGCTTCCCAACCACATTTGTTAAGTGGGTCATTCTTACTGATCTACAAAAACCTTGACTTTTCCACCCCTGGGATGACAATGATGGCAAATGGTCCATTTATTTTTTTAATGACAAAGCAAGTCTTTGGAACTCGCTGCACTCAGGGCCTGTCCGGTCAATGTGGCTCCCGTCCCCAGGTGGAAGTGTGGCTGAACCGAGTGCTGGACCGCATGTGTGCCACTCTGCGGCACGAAATCCCAGAGGCCGTGGTGACGTACGAGGAAAAGCCGAGGGAGCAGTGGATCTTCGATTACCCAGCCCAGGTCCGGGGGCGGCGGGGGGGGGGGGCTTGGGGTCTGCCCCGAGGTTGGTCCCGCAGAGACCAGCCTCCGCGCCGGCAGGGACCGCTGTATCGGGGGGTGACGCTCACGGTGCGGGGGGGCCCCGGTGGGCGCCCATCTGCTTGCAGATTGCGCTCACGTGCACGCAGATCTGGTGGACCACCGAGGTGGGCCTGGCCTTCTCGCGGCTGGAGGAAGGCTATGAAAACTCCATCAAGGATTACAACAAAAAGCAGGTGCGTGTCCGTTAGAAACCCTGCCCTTTCTGTCGGTCGGTCAAAAGTGGCCAAATCTCGGCAACCCCCCGTGGTTCCGCCCAAAGATAACCGCTTTGGAAATATACAACTTTCACTTTTTTGTCTGGAAATCAGCAAATCATCAATTTGTGTGCATAGCATGGACTTATATGCCAATACTGTAGAAACTATCTGCATGGCTTTAAAAATCCCCTGTTTGTACTTAATATCCACCATCTTCCCGGGGCGTTAGACTTTCTCACACGATGTCATTTTCAGAGGCTCCATGGTATCCCATCAGGGGCTGCTCTGCAGCTCACCCCACCCCCAGTTGGGGGATATTGAGAATTTCTCTGTGCTCCGTTTTTGTACATAAGAGCATGGTGGTCTTCCCTCCGCTACTGTGGGCTCCCAGGGGACCCACGCAGCCAGGGGAGGGCGGGGCACCCGGGGTGTCCCAGCCAAGGTGCCTCTGCTCCTGCAGATCAGCCAGCTGAACGCGCTCATCACCCTGCTCATTGGAAACCTCAATGCGGGTGACAGGATGAAGATCATGACCATCTGCACCATCGACGTGCATGCCCGGGACGTGGTCGCCAAAATGATCACAGCCAAGGCATGGGGGCCGGGGAAGGGCCGGGAACCAGGTGGGCCCCCGTTAGTGCCTCTTCCCCGGGGCGGGGGGGTGACTCTGTTCCTGGCAGCAGCCTCCACCCCTCACCAAGACTCGGCCCTGGGGAACTGTCAGAGGAGGGCCCGCTCCTCCGCGGGATTTGGCTGGGGGCAGCGTTGGGGTGGACGTGGGTCCTGGCGGAGGAGCAGAGGGTCTGGCTCCTATGCTCCGGCACCTCCTGCAGGTGGAGAGCTCCCAGGCCTTCACCTGGCAGTCTCAGCTCCGGCATCGCTGGGATGAAGAGAAGAAGCATTGCTTCGCCAACATCTGTGACGCCCAAATCCAGTACTCCTACGAATACCTGGGCAACACGCCGCGGCTGGTCATCACCCCACTCACGGACAGGTGAGGGCACGCACCAGCTGCCTTGGGCAGGCGGTTGGGGAGGCCTGTGTCCAGACTCACCCCTACCGCCTACTGGGCACCCAGCCTCGGATCACTCCGACGCTAGCTGTGTGGTCTTGGAGGAGTTGCTCAACCTCTCTGAGGGCCTGCAAAGTGGGGATGCCATTTCTGGCTCCATCCCACGGACTTCCCTGGCCCGTCCCTCTTGTGTCTCCCTGGCGCCAAGCGCCAAGTGCGTGTCATCTGGACACGGTGAGCTGACACTACCGTGAAAGGGAAGGGGGTGGCCATGGGGTCACCACACGCAGGATAATCAGAGGTCCCTTGCAGATGCTACATAACCTTGACCCAGTCCCTGCACCTGATCATGGGCGGGGCCCCCGCTGGCCCTGCTGGGACCGGCAAGACAGAGACGACCAAGGATCTGGGCAGGGCCCTGGGCACCATGGTGTATGTCTTCAACTGCTCGGAGCAAATGGACTACAAGGTGCGCTCCAGGCCTGGAGGGGGCCAGAGGCCCCTGTGGGGACCACACACCGCATCCCTGGGCCCCATGCATGTTCTAGATGTCTGGACACTGCGGTTCGAACCAGGGGAGGAGGCACAGGGTTCCCAGTCTGCTGACGGTCTCTGCCCCACATCCCTGCTAGTGGTCTTGGCCCTCCCAGGAAGCTGGGGCCCCGGGGAGGTGACAAACATGTCCAGAAGAGGCTCCCAGGGTCAACAAACCCAGGCCCAAACGTCCTGTCCTGCCCTGGGAGGTCACCCCCTTCCGGCCTCTGTTCCAAGTTCTGTCCAGGTGGCTGGGGGCTCCCGATAGAGTGAGTGCCTCTGTCGTGGTTCAGCGTGGGGCTTTGGGGTCAAAGCGAGTCCAGACAGGCTGGGGGGTAGCCAGGGGATAGGCCAGGCCCCAGTGATCCCTGGAGACTGTGCAGCACGTTGTGGGTTCTCCGCGGGCCCCATGGGAGAGCAGAGCCTCCTGGAGGCCCAGCAGGACAGCCTCGGGGCGGGCGGGGGAGGGGGCGCCTAGCGTCAGAGCCTGGGCCTGCAGGAGGCCTCTGGTCCCCTCCCTACCCGTATTTGAGCCCCAAAGCCCAACCGGGGCTCCCCGGGGCTCCCCGGCCTGACCCTCGGTCAGCAGGCTGTGAACAGGACTGTGACCCAGCAGAAGGGGCAGGTGGGGGGCTCCTGGCAGGACCCGGGTCGGCCCTCTGAGTCTCCTCCCCTCCCCCATCTCACCCTTTTCCTAGTCCTGTGGGAACATCTACAAGGGCCTGGCTCAGACTGGAGCGTGGGGCTGCTTCGATGAATTCAACCGAATCTCGGTGGAGGTCTTGTCCGTGATCGCTGTGCAGGTAGGGGCCTGTCTGTGGTCTGTGGGTCACGTAGGGGCTGGGGCTTGTCAGCTCTCCTGTCAGCCCTTACACCAGGCAGTCCGTTCAGCCCTGCGGCCCGTCCCCAGTGCGCCGTGCAATGCAGGGTGGTGTGGCACGGAGGTGAGAGACCCCAGCCCTGTCCTTCAGGGGCCCGGAGTCCAGGTGGGCACACAGAAGAATCGGATACAGCAGCCTAGGTGTAACCAGCTACACATGCAGGGATAATGACTTCTGCCTAGAGGACAAGGACAGAGGTTACGGGGTGTCAGCGAAGGATGCATTAGACAGCTGTGCTGGGAGAAGCACGGGGGGCAGGCGGGGAGAGGAGATGGGAGGGAGGAAATAGGCCCGTGTGCTTCGGGCATGAACGATGGGGAGGCCGGGACGCGGTGGGAGTAAGATCCTCAGATGGGGGACAGCCCTGCGCCGGCACAGCCCCAAGCTGCTTGCAAGATGCCTGTGCACCCGCCCCCCACGTTTGAAGGCGCATTCCTACATTGTACACGAACCCTCCGGATCCGGAGGTGAGAACCACGGGGCTCTCTCAGGGGAGCTGAGGCCAAGCTCGAGGTCCAGAATCAACTTGAATATTCCAAAAGGACCCGGAGATCAGGCCAGTGCAGGTGCTGGGACCCTCCCTCCCACGGGCGCAGTAGATAGATAAGCAGAGACCAGCTCCCTGCAGCCGGAGCTCCCAGCCCACACGGGAGGCTGGGGGGCAAGAGCCAGGGGAGCCAAGCTGAAACCAGCCCCCGCCACTCACGACCCACAGCCTGGGTGTAGAGCCTGCTCCAAACTTACTCAGTGGACTCCCCAACTCTGTGCTTGGCCGGGATTTCAACTCTCCCTAATCTGTAAAATGGTTTCGACGACACAGGTTTGCTGACACCATTAGAGGTGAATGCAGGTGGCTGGCCGGTATCCTCCACCTGTTAGCCTCCCGACACGGAGCTGTCCCTGAGCCCTGGGCTGGAGGCCAGTAAGGCAAAGAGAGAACGAAGGCTGCTGCCTTGGGGTCCCCCGCCCCCACCAGGGCAGCAGCAGAGTGACTCCCCACCCCCAAAGTCGGTAAATGGACCCCAACATGGTTTATGACTCGAATGGACCATCAAGAACTGGGCCAGGATGCTAGGAGAGGCTTCGCATAGAGGGGAGGCAGCGAAGAAATTAAGAAATTAAGGTGCGCCGCCTCAGCTGCCAGCCCTGCCCTGCGGACCAGCCAGGGAGGAAAGGCCAGGTCGCAGGGCGGGAGCTTTGCTCAGAAAGGCCGAGAGACCTTGAATTCAAGGCAGGCGGTTGGGAGGCTTAACCATGATCGTGGGGCGCCCTCCCGTGGTCAGCAGGAGCGGAAGATCCCACGGGCTCCTGAGCCCCGAGGTTTAGAATTCACCCAGTGCCGTTCTCAAAGACCGACAGAGAGCTGGCTGCTGCGGCGTGCCCCCACGCGGCGCCCAGAGCGGGAGCGGGACCCACAGAGCGGCCAGGAGGCAGAGCGCCGCTCAGCAATAGTGCGGAACAAGCAGGGGTGTCCCGGCGCCGCAGGGTGGGGGGGCAGGGGACCCTCATCCCGGGCATTCTACTGGGTGACGCTCCCAGGACATGCTGCACCATCCCACACAGCAGCGCTCGCGAAGGGGCAGAGGTACGGGAATCTGGAGCAGACCGCTGGTCGCCGGGGTCACGGTGGGGGCAGGGGGAGGTGGGTATGACTATGGCAGGGGACGTGAGGGGTCCTCGTGTCGTGCAAGATGCTCCTGCTAGGGGACGCTGGGGAGGGGCGCGTGGGAGGCCCAGGGGCATGTCTGCTGCCTTATTTCTTTAAAACTGCGTGTGAGTCTATGTTGTCTCAAAATTAAGTTTAATTAAAAAGAAAGCAAGACCGGGAGCGTCCTCTGCAAATGCGTAGCCACAGGCTTCGACACCAGTGAAGATCCAGCCCGTGGAAGCTGGTCATTCCCACACTGACACGTCTGTGTGCCAACTGTTTAGGTTAAATGTGTCCAAGATGCAATTCGGGCCAAGAAAAAAACATTCAGTTTCCTGGGAGAGATGATAAGTCTCATCCCCACCGTGGGCATTTTCATCACCATGAACCCTGGGTATGCAGGACGCGCCGAGCTGCCCGAGAATTTAAAGGCCTTATTCAGGTGCGTGGGCAGAGGAGGGCAGAGGGGACCCTAAGCCAGGGCGAGCTGGGAGCAAGGGAGGGAGGCTGGGGAGACGAGGCTCCTGAGTTAGGGGGTCTAGCAGGCAGGGCCTCCTTAAAAAGTAAACAGTGATCTTCCCGCTCTGCCTTCCTGGGGGAGGAGGCCCCTGACCATGGAAGGCCGGGTTCAGAGAAGAGTCAGTAGAGCAGGTGTGGGGCCTGGGGCCAGCCCATGCAGAGGGCAGAGGGCACAGGGCACAGGGGGATGCTGGGAACCCGCCCTCATGCCCCTGCAATCCTGACGCTGTGGGCTACCTGGCACGGGAAGTGTGCACCTAGCTGATGAGAGGTGGGAACGTGGGAGGAAGAGGGAAGAAGCCTGAGCAGACCCCGCTGACCTCCTCCAGGCCCTGCGCCATGGTGGTTCCCGACTTTGAACTGATATGTGAGATCATGCTGGTGGCCGAGGGCTTTCTGGAAGCCCGCCTGCTGGCCAGGAAGTTCATCACACTCTATACCTTGTGCAAAGAGCTCCTGTCGAAGCAGGTGCATGCCAACGGTGTCTGGGGCTGCAGGGCGGCGCGGGAGGGGGCCGTCCACGTGCCCGCGGTGGCATGCCGGCTTTGGCCCCAACCCTCCCTAACCCCAGCCCGGGTGGGAAGGCGTGCTCACACCCGCTCGCCCATGCCCCCCCTCCCCAGGATCATTACGACTGGGGCTTGCGAGCCATCAAGTCTGTGCTGGTGGTGGCCGGCTCCCTGAAGAGGGGTGACCCCAGCCGGGCAGAGGACCAGGTGCTCATGAGGGCGCTAAGAGACTTCAACATCCCCAAGATCGTGACTGACGACCTGCCCGTGTTCATGGGGCTGATCGGGGACCTTTTCCCTGCCCTGGACGTGCCTCGGAAGCGGGACCTGAATTTTGAAAAGGTAGGAACTACTGGGCCCTCGGGTCAGATCCACGCCTCGACGGCAGGTGCAGCACTGGGCAGGCGGCCGCATCGGGCAGGTGGTAGCCACACGTTTCTCCCTCCGCTGCTGGGAGAAACACCCGGAAGCCACAAACACCTTCCAGCCCCAGCCAGCACCTCTTTCAATGCTGGGGGGTGGGCCGAGGGGGGCGGCAGAGGGGCTTCGGGCAAACCTGTCCCCTGCACAGATGCTCAGCAGCATCACCGGCAGAACGTGGGGGCACATCCACGCCAGAAGCCACTGTTCCCTTACAACACCTCCCACGAAGCCCCCCTCCTGGAAAGACTGCCTGGTCCTGGCGCTCTGTGCCCAGCACCCCCTCCTGTGTGCACCTCCCCAGATCATCAAGCAGAGCATCGTGGAGCTCAAGCTGCAGGCAGAAGACAACTTCGTGCTGAAGGTCGTGCAGCTCGAGGAGCTGCTCCAAGTGCGCCACTCGGTGTTTGTCATCGGGAACGCGGGCAGTGGCAAATCTCAGGCATGCCCCACTCTTGTCTACACCTCGGTCCTCCCTGAAGGCCTGTAGGCTGCTAGAGGCTCAGCCTCTGTCACGTCCCCACACCTGCGGGGGCAGGGGGCAGCGAGGAGCAGGCCCTGGTCCCACTGCTGAGGCCCTTCTCCTAGGTTCTCCTTTCTTCTTGCTCCTTCCCCCTGGACACCAGCCACCTGCCCCCTCCGCACCAGCTCCTCACCCCCCTCCACCCTCCTGTCCCCACCTGCCTCCTGCCATTACCTGGGCATGAGGGTGGGGGCCAATACTACTGAGAACTATAACAACCTGGGCATGCTGAGAAGCAGAGGGTGGGGGCCAATACTACTGAGAACTATAACATCGTAAGAGTCTAAGCCAGCCAGCGTTGAGCTGGAAGCCCGCATGATGGCCCACCGTGTTACTCAAGATCATTTCCGAAGACTAATAACACGGGGGCGCTCGCAGCAAGTAATTTTTAAAAAGTCAGAAACTTGGCAACAGCTCTCTGCCCACGGGTCCTGCCCCCGGGCTTTAATAAAACCACCTTTTTGCACCCCCCCAAAAAAAGGCAGAAACTGTATGAACCCGATCTTCTAAAAAGAATATGTACATATATATGTATTTTTATGCCTGTACACACATATATACATATGAAAACATCCTCAAATGTCCCTAAAAATCCTTTTCTCTGGGTGGAGGAATTACCAGGAAAACCTTAAGGGAATCTCAATGAGCATGAATTGCCTTTGTCTTCAGGAAACTACTGTGAATTTTTCCTGATCTTAGCCTGGTCCCAGGGCACGTGGCGCTCCACTGTCCACAGACAGGGGTGGTTGCTGTGCATGCCCCATCCCCCGGGCACCCGCCTCGGTCAGTTTGGGGGCGCAAACTCACCTGCGTGTCACCAATGCAGAACTGACCCAGAGCGGGAATTCTGGTTGGGGTCCGTAAAAGGCCTTCGGAGTTGTGCATGGTGCCTCCCTGGGTGTGGGTGCAGGGGCGGTGGCCCCCGAGCCCAGTGTGAACAACGCACCCCCATACCAGGTCCTCAGGTCTCTCAACAAGACCTATCAGAACATGAAGAGGAAGCCGGTTGCCGTGGACCTGGACCCCAAGGCTGTCACCTGTGATGAGCTGTTTGGCATCATCAACCCAGCCACCAGGGAGTGGAAAGACGGTAACAGGAGCTGTGGCAGGGTGGACTGAGTGAGGGCAGGTCACCAGCAGGCATCCGAGGCTCACACCAGCCCTGCTCGCTCACACCAGCCCTGCTCACTCACAACAGCCCTGTTCACACCAGCCC